TGTGTGTGAGAGAGAGTGTTGTTAAACCTGATAAAACACACACACTTACATAATATCTAAGAGGCTCATATTGAGATGTGTGACCTCTGACACATCTTTAGTTTGTTTTATGATCACACCTTGATGATGCAACACACACACACACACACACACACACACACACACACACACACACGTACAGGAGGCTAAAGTCACCTACAATATAAAACTTTAAACTTTTCTCATCTTATCTTTTTATTGAATCTATTATCTGCTTATTTATTATCTTTATTACACAGATTCTGTTTTCTGAGGTGTTTTTACATGTCTTTGTAAAATCATACTCCACGCCTCATTCTTTAAAGTCATTTTATGTGTTATAGTGAAACACTTCTGTCGTGGATGAGACCACAGACCCTGGTAATGTCCTGAAAGTGATGATATTTATATATAATCCCATAAGGTCTTGTTATCTTCATACACTGATCCTGGAGCATCTCCTAAAGAAAATGAACTTCTGGATGTGAACGTGAAACAATAGTGAAAAAGCAGCAGCTGGAGAAAATGTCCAGATCTGTTAAATTCTGCTTTAAAGGCAGAAGTTCAGTATTATTTTGTTAAGATGTTCTGTTCAATAAACAGATTCAACTCATGTTTCCGTCACATGTTCAGATAAACGGATGAAAAAGTAAAAAGTCTCCTAAATTCCAAACGTCCATTTAGAGACTTCACGCCTCCGAGTGAAAAATGTTCCTCTTTGTGAGGATCCACAGATCACACAGAGCCATGGAACAGCGCCCCCTACATATCCACACTGAGCTCACTCTACTGAGAATCAGAAAATACACAACAGACACCATCAGCTGAGATGATGTGGCCTAGAATTAGTGAGTGTCGGTCTCCTGGTAAAAACAGAGATTACTGTAAACACTGAGCACCACACTCTATAAAATATCTTTACAGGGATATAAGAGGAATATTAGTCGGTAGAGATGCTATAGGAGTTTCCATAAAATTCAACAAAGCCTCTGTAAAGCCACAGACACTGAGATCGTCCCCATAGGATCATTAACGACGAGGAGAAATAAACCACCAGTGAGAACCACACACACTTTACACACTGTAACCACAGCCAGGGAAAATATCAACAACCACAATCCTGAAAACTGAACTCATTACACACACACTGTAAATCTGTGTATTATGTCCATATTTCAGAGATAAAATCTAATTCAGTACAACGCACTGACGATGATGTACAACTGACCATCACTGCAGCGATGCTGCGTTGACTCTGTAAGAACTGACCTGAGAGCAGAGGACAACGTGTGAAATCCCTACATGCAGGCATCACATAATCTTATTTTAACATCATGGACGATGAGAGAATAATAAATCACAATACACTCGCTAGAAGTTGAAATCCCTAAAGGAACATTATCAGTCATTTAAAGTGAAAATAGAAAGTAAACAAGAGACATGCAGAGTTTAATAACAGCAGGTTTGAATAACTCCGGAGACAAAACGTCTCTAGAGTGACTGAACGTCCTGAGGACAACCAGCTTTATATCATTATATAATAACTATAGTATCAATTAAACCGTGTAGGACTTTAACAGGAAACACATCTAAGAAATCAATGACACGCGCACATTTGTCATTTCACATCTTTGTGGACCGACACCGCCTCTACCTGCAGTGTCAGCCAATCAGGACCCGCCACGTCACCGCTCCGATCTCTGACTGCGCCGTAATTGGACGAACCCGAGGAATTTGAACGTCAGATCAGCGTCTGATTGGACAAATTAAAGTAGAAGAAGGGGGAAGAAGTTCCCGTGGTGTACGCGCACACGAGAACGCGCTCGTGCACCGCATTCCTCAGACCCCGTGTGTCGATCGATGAATAACTATGATGAGCAGAGACACCGAGGATCCATCATCGATCTCCACACGGACACGTGCTCACCATGGTAAACATTGAAGAGCCGGTGACAAAGTTTGATGCCTCCGCAGATAAAACGTTGATTAACGGTGAAAACGCTCCGCAGCTCCGGGATGAATCCAGACTGAGCTCGGTGCTGGCTCGGTGCTGGCTCGGTGCTGGCTCGGTTCAGCGGCTCGTGCTTCTCTCCGTGTCCTGCTCGGCTCGGCTCGGCTCGGGTCACGGACTCTGCAGAAGTTGCATCAGTCTCTTGTGTGTTTGTTTATGTCCACAGCAACTCCTCCTCTTCGGTTTCTCCTTCCTGTCCCGCTGGAAGCACATAACCCGGTTCAGCTCGGTGTGACCCGGTACAGCACGGTTCAGCCTGCTCCGTGCATGGGGGCGCAGCTGCAGCCCTGCAGCAGGGGGCGGGGAGCGGAGTCGGTGCTCCGGTTCCCGCTTATCTATGCACGCTGCACGCGTGCGTTTCCCCGCGTGGAGTTTTTGAGGAGAACTGCGCGTGCATGTATGAAAGGGAGCGGAGACAAAGTGTTCACACGCACGACCAGCCGCTCATCACGCACCTGAATCGCGCTCATCCCGCGCACAGTCCGGCTGCGGCTCAGAGAGAAGGATGCTCGTTCACACCCTCACACAAAGTCACGTGGAAAAGACACGGACCTTATGAAAGGCCCGCGCGTGCACGTGAAACCATCACATCGTGTTTGACACGTGTCACAGCTCTGAAGTTGCTCCGGACTCTGAAGCTGCACGTGGGACAGAAAGTCTGGACCCAACTCTGGGGACATTGTCCGCAGGCTACGTCAGTGTAGAGTCACCAGGTAACCACACCCCCAATCGGCAACCTTCAGTGAAAACGTGATTATTGAACCTGGGAATTCTGCTGCTTGGGTTTTAATCCAGGAGGAGAACCAGTCTTCTGGACAGGAGATCTTCACTGCTCCGGTTCCACACGTCTCGATCTGTCCACTTGTTCCAAACTGTTCTGGTGCTGCTCTCACTGACGCCTCTGTTCCTGGGGAACCAGTCAGAGTCCGGCAGGAGGCCTGAGATGGAGGAAGTCATGTTTCCGCACCGTGACGAGAACGGTGAGATCAACGCAGCTTCACAGATGGTTAGAAATTCATCAGGTGTAATTAAGTGGATTTGATTTAGCTCCTGTTCATTGAAAAAATAAAAACAAACCTAACTTTCCCAGTTTAGAGCTTTGACCTTTGACCTGTAATTATTTTCCTGTAAACTCAGCGCGTCACGAGTTTGTCTTGTGAAGCTTCTGTTTGTTTGAGGCTCTTTCTAAATAAACGTGAACACTTGTGTTGACCTGAGCTGATCTCCTCCTCTGCGGCGTTTCACTCGTCCCCGGCTGCAGGCGGCGAGCGACGAGTCGTCCGAGGTTAATGAACAGAAGCTTTTATGTTAATAGAAGGACAGCCGGTGTGATTTAACAAGACAATCTGCAGATTTACTTCTCTCAAACACACGGGAGCTGCGGCAGCACGTTATTAACTGGCTAAACAACGTCTCAGCAATGAAGGTCAAGACAAAGAGAAGGTAATTAGATTACAGCAATTAAATTGTTTAGTTATTTTCTCTGGATATGATCACTAATCTTAGTAATCATGGAGCTCAGACGCTCACACAGGAGCAGCTTCACACCCACAGGAATCAGGTGAAAACTCAGATTCATCATTTGTGAGTGAATCACCTGAGTTTACAGACTCAACAGGTACTGTGTCTATGACACGAATCTAAACTGCAGATTTAATTCACGCTGTGACGTTTGTTCTGAATCTGACGTCTGTTACTGTGAACTCAGGGAGCACGTTGAGATCTTAACTTAAATCTAAATGTT